ATTTGCCCTTAAACCGAATTTTAAAATATTTTCAGCTGACGGATCGGGTACCTATCGGTCGCAGTTGCCGTACGTCACAGGGCGGTATATATTGCATTATTGCTAGTGGATCTGAGGGACAGCAGGTAGCATATAGATTTATTGATGAAAGATTGGTAAAAAACTAGACACCCGTAAACATTAGATTGATAAACGCGCAACAATTTTTTTATTACTCGTTTTTTGATAAGTAGGATGCTCGTCAGTATCTCGGAAAGGGAGCATTTCCTGACTGAATTGGTCCTAGATCCAGCTTCATTACCCCAACGTATACTAAATAACATAGAAAATGCAGCACCGGCTAGGGATGCTGTAATTTCGAGCACACTTTCAGGTCTACTGTTAAATATACTAAGTGACATATAAATCCGAACACCCAGTTTGAATGGTTTTATTTTAATAAAATTTTGTATAAGTACTTAATGAAGCATAATAAGTAAATCATAAAAATGTCAAAATGATTGCACTGCTTTAAAGCCCTTCGACCTTTAATAATGTGTGGATGCACCCTGATGTGCTACGCATTCTCCAACGCGCCTAGGCATGCTTCTGATCAGGTGGTCAATGTCCTCCTGTGGTATCTCATTCCAGGCAACCACCAACTCCTCTCGAAGTGCTTCTAGAGTCTGAGAGGACGTTGCAAATTGAGCAATCTCCTACCCATCATATCCCACACGTGCTCAATTGGGGATAAGTCGGGAGATCTTGGTAACAATGTGACATCATTATGTTGAAAGAAGTCTATTGTGACTCTTGCAACATGTGGTCGGGCATTATCTTGTTGGAAAGTTGGATCTGCCAGGGTGTCAAGATAGGGTAAAAGATGGGGTTTTAGAACTTCGTGGATATAACGCTGCGCGTTCATGTTACCTCTGATGAAGATTAAAGGTGACCTGGAACCATAAGCTATAGCACCCCAAACCATAACTCCAACAGTGTGATGAACATGTCTTTCAACAAAAAACTGTGGATTCCTCCTTTCACCACGTCGCCTTCTAACCCTGGCACGACCATCGTGCATGCCTAAACAAAATCGAGACTCGTCACTAAAGACAATACTGTCCCATTCCTGATCCCAGAGTGACCGTTGTCTGCACCACTCAAGGCGATTACGTCGGTGTTCTCGAGTTAAAGGGAGGACCCAGTGTGGCCGATATGAAAACAACCCAAAACTTCTCATTCGTCGGTAAACACTTCGCATGCCAATAGGTCTTCCGTGTTCTGCAAACCATTCATTTGCAATGGACCTGGTAGTGGAGAAACGGTCCCTTAAGGCCAATAATCTTAGGCGGCGATCTTCACGGTCTGTTGTTCTACGGCGGCGTCCAGTGCCCCTTGCTCTTTGCGTACGGCCTTCTCGAAGCCATGCCTGACAACACCTAACCACAGTGTCTACACTTGTTTGCACTCTAACTGCAATTGCCCGAAAAGAAAGTCCAGCTTCCCGAAGTCCCACTATACGGCCCCTATCAAACTCACTAAGTTGACGAAATCGTACAGGTCTCCGTACTCTAGGCATCGTAACCGATCTTAAAGGATGTCAAGAACCAAAATCCGCCAACGTTGATTCTTTACTGCCGCTGAAATATTCATTTTTAGAGCGTTAGTGAATTAAAAAAAAAGCAGTATAAAAACCGGAATGTCCAACTGATAAGGCTGAACATTTTTTCACTTGTTATTTACAGTAAGATAAATACATTCACCAACTTTTATAAAAATAAAACCATTTAAACTGGGTGTTCGGATTTATATGTCACTTAGTATATAAAGTGATTGAAATTTTAACTCGAAATTTCGCAAAACAGCTGAGATACCTTAATTAACATAATGTGTTGACGCTCATCTGTTCGAAACACATTCTTTAAAACAATGGCACCCAAAAAAAACCTTTAAAGGATCATGGTGCCGATTTGGGGTAAGAAACTAATGAATTCTAGCACTATATTGATATCAAACTCAGAATCCCATTAATCTAGAAGAAAAACCTCCACCCTTATCATAGTCGCGCAACGATTTTTGAATTTGTTTTATTAGTCTTTTTTTGAGCATCTTAGCAAATATTTATCCAACCCAAACGTATTTAATTAGAAAAGGTAAGTGTGCATTTTTGGTATATCAAAGCATCAGACACAAAGTGGTACACAAGACAATCAACATACCCATTTCGATCAAGGTAAATGACGTGCGAATTTCCTGAACTAAGAAAGGACAAACCACGCTATTTGCCGTGTTGAAATTCGCGACTAACTTCGCGAATTCGGGATAGGGTGATATTATAGGGGCGCCAGGTCTAGGAGTGTCACGCGACACCTGTTACTTTTGCGATAGTTTACTCTTTACTCTTCAGGGTTGGGCTGGGATGAAATTGTACGTTTCTTGAAAATCATCGCACCTCGGGAGCTATTATGTATGTATCGAAGAAAGAGACTAAACCAAAACAGCGTGATTATTGCGTGATCAGTACTGATATATTTCAAGAGGAGGGAGCATAGCTGTTATTGGGCAGAATAGGTCGAGCCCTTACACAAAACCAATGACAAACCAGAGGGTGGAGTGGGAGGCGATACGACCGTGAATGCAGGCTGTCCCGGTGGCTGACCGTACAGTACAGAGTCGGCATCAGATTTATACTGTGTGCCTATTAGATTTGTCAGTTTAATTTCGTAGAACTCAAAATGTCTGATACGGATACAGCTGATGAAGTTGTTGATATCAGCTGCACACCGCCTAAAAAAACAGCTAAAAGGCTTCGTTTTAGCGTTAGCGGGAAACAAATAATTATCAACACTTATAAATACGAAATGCAAGGAAGGGTGACTCAAGTGTTCAGGACATTGTTTGTAAAATTTTTCAATAATTGTAAGACGAGGAATTTCAACCAAAATTATATTTTATTTTTGTTTTTGTACATGCTTAAACTAGATCGAGATAAGGAATCAAGCATTCATTTTGCTGGGTTTTTAATGCTTTCACTGGGAGCGGTTTTAAAGTGTCCAAAATGAATTATTTTTAGGAAAAGGTAAGCGATTTATAATTTGCCACATATGTAATGAAGATGCATTTGTGTCCGATGCTTTATGGGCAAAAAAAACGGGAGACTACCATGAAGAAATGGATGGAGACTCGTGTTCTAAAATTGGTTCTCAAATACTCTACCGAAGCTTGAAAATAATTCGGTTATAGTATTAGATAATGCTTCATTCCACACGAGAAAATTAGAGAAAATTCCAACAAGGTCAACAAAAAAAAATTCAAGGATGGTTTAAAAATAAAAAGATTGATTATGATGATACAACGGTTAAGGCAGAATTGTTACAAATTGTCAAGACGCATAAAAATAAATATAACCTGAACATAATTGATGAAATGGCCAAACACAAAATAAAACTGTATTAAGACTGCCTCCTTACCATTGTGAGCTCACTCCGATTGAGCTCATTTGGGCAGACATAAAAAATATGTTGCAGCAGAAAATAAATGTTTAAATTTTTTACCTTAAACTTTTTTTCATGATGCTATACAAAAAATAACACCGAGTAAGTGGGAAAATGTATCAGCATGTAAAAGAAAAGGTTGAACCTAAAATGTGGGAATTAGACGGTATCATTGTGACTCACGTTGCCTCTTCAATCACAAATCTTGATGACAGTGGGAGTTCCACGACCTCAGATCTTGAATGATTTTCATTTTCAAATATATGTATTTCCGGTTTTAGAGGTAAAATATCTGTGCAATAATTTTTGTATAATATTCAGTATATGTCTTCAAATGCTTTTTCTTTCCACTCCACCTAACTATTCATTTTTTAGTCTAATATTAAACTGTTTGCACACTGACGTCCCTGTTCAAGCGGTGCTTAGGTATACTCGTATGCATATGCAATTATCGTTTTAATGTTTCAAGAGATTTTTTAAAAGCCTGCTTTATACGACACATTTCGAGTATAATTTATTGATAAAACACTTCTACTAAAAACAACAATAGACAGTTGTTTTCTTTTTGGTCATGACAGTAAAATAAAAAAAATACATTAATTCCAAGCTTTACGTTTGGACCGTATACATGCCTGCAATAATTTTGCATACTTTTTGATCTTGTCGTAAAACCACAAATCATTTATTCTTAGTACGGCCCTGTAACGTGCTCGGCGTTCTGGAGCGCAATCACGTGTAGTAAACGTGAATATGCTTAGGTTTGGTATCTTTCTTCTATGGATACGTAATATATTGTTATATGCAGGTAGGCTGATTTCTAACTATAGTTTGAAAAATGGGTTTCCCATTGGGGACTTGATAACTTTCCTTTAAATAAAACGCAAAGCATAATTTTATTATTGGATTGGATATAGTCAAAACATTTATGTATGGTTCGTTGGCACGGACCAATGATTTAACGTAGCCGCACAAAAAAAGTCTATAGGTGTTAAATCACACGATCTAGGCGGCCATTCGACAGGACCATTTCTCGATATAACAATGATGAAAATGTTTTCTTACTGAATGTTTTGACATTGACAGTTCGATAATTGCTTTAAAGGTGCGTTCACAGTGAAAGTTCAAAGTTGTCAGGTCCCTATTGGAAAACCCGATAGATTGACTCTATACCTCCTACGCCTTCGTTTTGGTGGTTTTAAAAAAAATGTTGAGTCTAATCGTTTCAAAAGGCGAAATCGGATCATGATTAGGTAGGTTAACTTAGCTATGGTGGGCCTTTGCATATCAAACAATATAAAGCTAAATAGTCTAGCAACTTCTTCAGTCAATTCGTGTCGATAAAATTTTAGCAGCTTGCCAGTTCCTGAAATATTTTGTCCAGTATAAATCTGTATTTTCTCGGCATTCACACTTTTCCAACTTTCGCGAAACTTTTTTCGTTTCGTATTACAAAATATCCATTTTCGTTCTCTGTGGCTGCAGGTGAAATTCTGATTATTTACGACGCTGATTTCCAAAAATACACAATTTTGTTTACGTAAAAATATATTTCATCATGACGAAGGTATCTACAGGGTAGTATATACAACACTGAGATAAAATAATTATAAATATACATTTTCAACGGTTTTTCGTACACTAAAAAACAAATGAATTCATATAGACACTATTCCAGAAAAATCACAATGGAATGAAAAAAATTAGTTTTTCAGAAGAACACTCACTATTTTGTAAAACATGCGGTCGTATAGTCAATTGAAATTAAAATATCTGTAAGTAGGTATCACTTCCAGGTTGCCAACGACGTTGGAGTTTAATGTGTAGAGTTTAAAGTTTGTCGCTGCAGTCATCATGATCGGGGCAGCTTCAGTGACAGGAATGTATCTTTCTTGGCGAAGTATTCATCGAACCTCATTGACGCATATCTGAAAGAAAAATGTCACCAAAACTTTATTCTTCGTCGTATGAAAACAAGACTTCATTCTAGTCTAGTCGCAATATCGATCAGTAAATCTTGCTCTTTTTAAACATCCTCCAGGATATGAATATCAACACGAAGAGCATTCTGGAATCGATCGAAAAACGAGCTCTTTTTGTAGGTTTTTGATCACAATGTAAGTACTTGTGCCTAGTGCTTTTTGGTTTATGTATTTACTTTTTTTGATCAACAAAGTTTTTTAAAACCTGTTGGTCAATGTTAATCAAACATACACAAAACAATATAGACAATAGCCATCGACAAATAAACATGTTTACAGATAAACAATGAAAGTGTAAATATACTAAGTGACGTATAAAATGCATGATACCATAATAATAATTATATTTCGTCCTCGTTCCGTAAATAAGAACAAACGTAGTCTCTCTATTCCACACCGTACATCACGAATTTTTAAAGTAAACAAACCGCCCCGTCCGCTACCCCGCTACCCGGCCACGTCGGTGGTACCGTCGTGTGCATGTCTCATTCTCTGTTTTCGTGCCGTACAACGCGTTTCGTTGCCGACCGAAATTTCGTATAATAGTGCTCCGCCTAGTTTTTTGTTTGCGATGTCAGAAAAGCGCAAGAGACCTGATTTTAGTGACTCGGACAGTGATGATTATATCATTTGGAAAATTGCAAGATTGAAGAAGCGGTTGAAGAAGCACCATTCAAAGGGCAGAAGGTCTCACCGTTCTCCATCCCCCCAGAGTGATGTTTTTACCACGCCCGATCACTCAGACGACGACGATGTGCCGTTATCAGCTTTTGCGGCCAGGAATGCTGATGCCGTGGATTCCGAGGTTGCCGGCTCATGCATAACCAACACCACTCCAATTGAAGGTTTTGTTTTGAATTAAATTAGTACTGAATTGAGAGTATTTTGGAACAATTTGGCATGATGGGAATCTTCGAATCATTAGATTTAATTTTGTAAAATATTATGGCATATTTTACATTACAAATAATACCTATCATGACACTTTATTTTGTAAATAATTATGGTATTTTTTACAAGATTTGTTGTCAATTTTTTGAAAATACTATGGTGTATTTTCCTTGCATGGTATTTTTTACAAGTTGTGCTGTCAATTTTTCGAAAATACTATGGTGTATTTTCCCTGCACTTCTTTGATTGTTTGTGAAATATTATGGCATATTTTACACAAAATTACCATGACACTCCAGTACAATTATGGTATTGTTTCACATATTTGTTATCAGTTTTCTGAAATATTATGACATATTTTACACAAAATTGCCATGACAATCCAGTACAATTATGGTATTGTTTCACATAATTATTGGTTATCAGTTTTCTGAAATATTATGGCATATTTTAGATCTACGACCGTTTATTATATAATATGGTTCCTCTCTTACAGATGGGGGAAGTTCAATTCTAGATGCTAGTATACTAGCTCTTCTGGGAGATGAAAAGCCATCTGCAGACGTGCTTGGACCAAGCATTCATGTGGATCTAACTAGCAGATGGTCATTTATTTTAAGCAACGGGTTAAGCGAGGCCTCCGTCAATACCTTGCTCAAAAAATATCCCCCTCCTGAAAACTGCCCACTTTTAAAATGCCCCCGTATAAATCCAGAAGTTGCCTCAGCGATTAATGAACAAGTAGCTCGTAGAGACTCAAACCTCAATGGGCTTCAGAACCAAATAGGAGCTGCACTGTCAGCATTGGGTCAACTCGCATCAGCAGTTGTGTCTGAAGAAGGGGGGGGGGACCTGGCTTATGTTGAATTAGCTAGTGATGCTAGTAGATTACTTTTAGATTTTTATCACAAATACTCGGTAATCCGTAGAGATTTATTGATACTGAATTTACGGAAAGATCTCAAAGAAACTCTGACTAATGTGTCTGCTGACGGATGGTTGTTCGGCAAGGATCTCGGTGAGCGAATAAAAGCTACCAAGGATATTGAAAAATCTGGTTTGGACCTGAAACCTACTAGAGTATCTAGACCTAGTACCTCATTTAAACAACCTGCCAAACAGGTTCCGGAAAACTTTTACCGTCCACCTCGTCGAACACAAAGGGGAAACATTCGAGGTGGGCGGCCGATAAAGATCCCAAATCCCTCTCAGTCGTTCCAAAAAAGGCCTCATCAAACACAGAGAAGAACCTCGGACCAGGATCATCGTCGCCGACAGGATGTACGTCAATACCACAAACAGAATCGATAGATCAGAGCGAGGTGGGTTGCACAGTTGGTCGATTACGTAATTATTTACCTATGTGGCAAGAAATTACTAAAGATAAAAATATTTTATCATGGATTTCTGGTTTGAAAATTCCTTTTGTCACCAGACCAATCCAAAAGGTACGACCCTTGGAGAGGCATTGGTCAAATTCAGAGAAGTCAACCTTAAGAGAATCAATTCAAGAGTTATTAGCCTCTGGCGCTATTCAAAAAGTCACACATTATAAAGGAGAATACATATCAAGTATTTTCCTAGTTCCTAAAACTGATGGTTCAAAGCGTTTAATCTTAAACTTAAAATCTCTTAATAACTTTATTAAAGCAGAACATTTTAAGCTTGAAGACCAAAGAACAGTATGCAATATTATTCAGGAAAATTATTTCATGTCCACCCTGGATTTGAAGCATGCATACTATTTAGTTCCCATTAATAAACATTATAAGAAGTTTTTAAGATTCAGGTTTGATGGTGAATTATTTGAATATAATTGCATACCTTTTGGCCTCAATTGTGCCCCTCTTGTATTCACCAAATTAATGAAACCTGTCCTTTCATTTCTTAGAGGACAAGGCTTACTTTCGGTGCTGTATCTTGATGATTTTTTATTATTGGGAAGAACTTTTGATGAATGCCAGAAAAATGTTTCCTTAACTATCAATTTTCTAGAGAAATTGGGCTTTCTTATAAATTATCAAAAGAGTGTTATAACTCCGTCAAAGACTGTTCGATATCTAGGGTTTACTTATGATTCTCAAGATATGTCAATTTCTATACCGGAGGATAAGAAAGATTCACTTCTAAGATATGTTAGATATCTTTTAAGGAATACGCGCTGTAAGATACGCTTTTTCGCCAAAATAATCGGAAAATTAATTTCTATATGCCCGGCTGTTCGTTATGGATGGTTGTATACTAAATTAATGGAAAGAGAAAAATTTTTAGCCTTGAAGCGAACAGATGGAAATTATGATAGAACTATGGCTATTTCTCCACTGTTATATAACGATCTCAGGTGGTGGCTATCGCATATAGAAAATGATAGTACCAACTCTATTAAGTTGGATTTTTTCCAATTGGAAATTTTTTCAGATGCCTGCTTAACGGGCTGGGGAATATTTTGTAATAATGTTAGATCTCATGGTTTTTGGTCCTTAGAAGAAAGGAAAGAACACATTAATTATTTAGAATTAAAGGCAGCATTTTTTGGTTTAAAATGTTGTGCCGGTCATCTTTCTAACCAAAATATTCTCTTACGCATTGATAATACTACAGCCATTGCCTATATAAATCGAATGGGAGGCATTCAATATTTTAAATTAAATTCACTGTGTCGTGAGATTTGGCAGTGGTGTGAAAGCAAAAATTTATTTATATATGCGTCTTACATTAACAGTAAGGATAACATAATTGCAGACATAGAATCACGTAGGTTACATCCTGAGACGGAATGGGAGTTGAACGACAAATATTTCAGAGAAATTGTTTCAAGATTTGGAATCCCAGAAATAGATCTTTTCGCTAGTCGCATTAACTCTAAATGTCCAATTTTTATTTCGTGGCATCCTGATCCTCTTGCATTCAAAGTGGACGCTTTTACTGTCAATTGGGGTACTTATCATTTTTATGCCTTCCCCCCTTTTTCAATAATACTTAAAGTTGTGCATAAAATCATTAGAGACAGGGCCCAAGGTATAGTAGTTGTGCCGCATTGGCCTACACAGCCTTGGTACCCCATTTTTACATCTCTTCTTAAAAAGCCACCAATTTATTTTCCGGCTAGTAAAGATGTCCTTTTATGTTTTGACAGATCTCAGACATATCCCTTATGGCCACAACTTATCCTGGTTGCAGGTCTCTTATCCGGCAGGGTTTAGAATTAAGAGGAACGCCGAAGTCTGCAATTGAGGTCTGCCTTGCTTCAATTACAGAATCTACTGTTAAACAATATGATTCCGGTTTAAAGCGATGGTATCAATTCTGTAAATCCAGAAATGAGAGTTGCTTCACTGCTTCAATTGCGACTGTCCTCGAGTTTTTGCAGGAAGAATATAATAAGGGAGCGTCATATGGTACACTCAATTCCCATCGATCCGCTTTAGCCCAGGTTTTAGGCCCCTCATTAGCACAAGATTTTCGCGTAAAACGGTTTTTTAAAGGTGTATTTCATTTCTAGTTTGCCGAAGTATCAAAATATCTGGGATCCATCACTTGTCTTAGATTATTTGCGAACACTAACTAATGGAGATTGCACACTAGAGCAAATATCATATAAATTAGCAACATTGTTAGCTCTTACCTCAGCTCAAAGAGTTCAAACGCTTTCTCTTATTCAACTTGATGACATAAAATCTTCATCCCAAGGCGTTCAGATATTTATTCGCGATCGTATAAAAACCTCTGGGCCAGGTAAAGCCCAGCCTGTTATTTCTTTACCCTTTTTCAGAAGCGATGAAAATATTTGTGTCGCCAGCACTCTCCTATTTTATATAGAAAAAACGAAGGATGTAAGAAATGCTGTATGTAACAGGCTCTTAATCACCTTTAAAAGACCGTACCATAATGCCTCATCACAAACACTTTCACGTTGGATTCGAAATGTTTTAATTAAAGCTGGTATTGATACCTCTAAATTTGCATCTCATTCAACAAGACATGCATCTACTTCCTTAGCGGATCGTAGAGGTGTATCAATAGATATAATTAGGTCAGCTGCTGGTTGGACCGGACATTCAAAAACATTTGCAAACTTCTATAAGAGACCGGTTTGTGATTCTTATGCTTATGCGAGGGTCATATTAGATCAACCAGCTACATAACTAATTATTATTTTCACTTAACAATAGTATTCCTTAGTTATTCCTTATGATAAATTATGCCAGTGTTGTAAACTATTTCTGAGTTTAGGAACTAGCTAAATATTTAACTAGTTACTCTGTTTTCTTAAATACCTTAGGGTTATTCCCTAGTTTAATGTTGTTTGATGTTATAATGTTATGTTTTATGTTTACTATTATATAATGTTAATGTTGTTCTTCCGCTGTTGAATTCATACCAGTATTTCGAATGTGTTTCTTATTCGAATTATATTCGTTAAAATAAGATTTTGGAACTTCTTATTTTCCTCTTATAGAGCCTAAAATTTTTTGTTTCGTCTGCAGTTGCACAATTATTTGCTTTAAACATCTACGTTTGTTCTTATTTACGGAACGAGGACGAAATATAATTACTAAATCAAACGAACTTACCTGTAATGAAGTTCGATTGTAATTATATGAAGTCCTCGTGAAGTAAATAAGTCCCTCCCTCCCCGTTTTATTTTTCCCTATTATTAATTGCATCAACTGCAGACAGATCTTTGAATAATGAGACATGCACACGACGGTACCACCGACGTGGCCGGGTAGCGGGGTAGCGGACGGGGCGGTTTGTTTACTTTAAAAATTCGTGATGTACGGTGTGGAATAGAGAGACTACGTTTGTTCTTATTTACTTCACGAGGACTTCATATAATTACAATCGAACTTCATTACAGGTAAGTTCGTTTGATTTAGTAATAATAGACGTCTTTATTTATCCACAATTACATTGTAGTATAGCCAAATGTCAGACTTATATGGCGAAGTTTAGCATGCTGCTACTCTTACACTTAACCATATAGTCTCTAGCAGATGTTCAAAAGAATACACTATCCACAAACAGATTTGGTTCATTACATCGAAAATATAATTTAAAAAAAAAGAGTAAAAGCCATACTTTCCAAACCCAAATGCACCAAAAAATTATTAATCTGAATTAAAGATGGAATAAAAAAGAAATGAATGATTACGTAAATTATATGTTTGGAGGGTTAACTTTTTGTCGAAAGACAGGTAATGAAAATTCTTTATATACCTTAGGAAGGTCATTATAAATAATAGCAAGATTGTAAGAAAAACTGCGTTTAAAAAGTGTAGACGTATGCAGGGGTATTCTAATATTATTTTCTCTGAGAGTTCTACAGCGAACATCATTATTAAATGAAATTTTTTCCTTCAAGTAATAAGGTTTAGACGTGAGCAGCAATTTGTGAACAAAAACTGAATAGTGATACTTGACCATGTCATTAATTTTTAACCAGTTTAGAACGGGATATTTCGCCGATACATGATCAAAGTTACGTAAGCCAAAAATGAATCGTATACAATTGTTTTGAATAACTTGAATAACTTTTTTAGTGAAATTGTCTAAACAAGTATAGTATACGATATTATAATAATTTAGTATAGATATGACCAATGCTTCACATAGTTTTTTACGCGTCTTAAAATTTAGTAAATACCTGTTTGCTATAAGAGTGCGCAGCCGTAGGTAGGTTTTCTGAGATAGACTTTTAACATGTTCAATAAACCTTAATTTTGTATCAAAAACAACACCAAGAATTTTTGCAGAATCAGAAAATTGCAAGATTTGGTTATTTATCTGAATGTTCAAGAGCTGTGTTACATTGTATGTTTTTCTTTGTGCGCAAAATAATAACATTTTAGATTTTTGTGGATTAATAAGTAGATTGTGATATAAAGAGTATTTAATTAATTTATTAACATCGTTTTGTAAAATTTGAGTAGTATTATTGACATTATCTGGGTTAAAATAATGAAGCAATTGCGTATCGTCTGCAAATGACTGGACATGAGAATTATCAATACTTTTGCTTAAGTCGAACGTATATATGAGGAACAGAAGCGGTCCCAATACAGAGCCCTGAGGTACCCCTGAGGGAATTATTGTCACTTGAGACATTTCTTGACTGAGAAAAACACACTGAGTTCTTTGATGAAGGTAACTGTCGAAAAATGAAAGGGATACACTGTCAAGACCTATGTAATTTAATTTAGCAAGCAATAATTTATGATTGATGCTGTCAAAGGCTTTCGAATAGTCTATAGAAATTAAGGCTAGTGCCATTTTCTTATCTAAGGCACTTAAAATATTGTCTTGCAGATTAAGTAGGGCAGATGTTGTACTACAATTTTTTCTAAATCCGGATTGAGTGTCGGGAAGTATAAAGAATTTTTCTAGGTAAGCGGTCAATTGGAACTTTATAATTTTTTCTAAAATTTCGGATAAAATTGGTAATAAACTGATAGGTCTGAGATCATTATACTCAGTGGGTTTCATTTTTTTAGGAATTGGAATAATTAGAGCTTGTTTCCATGTGTTTGGAAAGTAGCCTGTTTCCAAACATATGAGTATAATTTTTTACTTAGTCTTTACTTAAGTCGCAAAAATACCAGGAGGATATACATTATTGTTTAAGTTTGAAATCCAGTTGCTCGTAAAAGTGAATAATAAACATTGTTGTGGAAAATCCTGGTCGGAATCCAAACTGAGAAGCAAAGATGATGTTATACATTTTTATGAAGCTTTCTAACCTCAGCAAAAAACTATACTCTAATATTTTGTACAAGTTAAATAGCACGATAATTTTTCAAGAAATATTTGTCTGCTTTCTTGAAGGCATTACTTTGTTGTTTTTAGTAGCTCGGCATGGGTATCATGTAAAAAACCTATAAAACGTCACAAAAACCTATAAGATGTCATCTTGCAAACTAGGTAGTTTTTAGCGCGCAAACAGTCATTCCACGTTTGCTCACTAGGATCGTTGTGAACGTCCATCTATGGAGCAATCACTCAACTAAACTGTACGCATTATTGGTTGCATATGTTTTTTGTCTGTAGCTTTTATCTCTGAGAAGAAAGTTGGTTGAATAGCAAGATCGCATCTGGATGATTATGTGTATTGGTCTGTGTATAAAATCAGTGTTATTTGCTGTGTGAGACAATCATTACTGAATATGCTGCCAATGAAGTATAATCTATTGGCTTTGCCCGACGGGTTATTTTTATTTTACACATCAAAGCCAAAGAGTGATGACAAGCCTCATGACGTCTAGGCAACACGTACAACTAAGTGCTAAGTTAATTCTTGTAGAAACTCCTGCATAATGTCAAAAAAAACCGCATAATGTCAAAAAAAAATCGGCATAATGTCACTTTTCAAGATACGTGATACCCGTGCGGGAAACTTTCCAACGTTAAATGATAAATTGATGATGTGTAAAAGAATATCAGCAACAGGCTCTGCTACTCTTCTGATTAGATCCCGAAATACCGTCAAGTTCAGATGACTTTTTAGTTTTGTGTTTAACGATCTCGATCAACTCAGGTCTGCAATAACTATCGCTCGATCGCATGAAAAAGTACGGGAAAATAAAAACTAAGCAAATTGAAATTAAAATAACTAGAAAGACGGGCCAATCTCAGAGTTACTCACTTTATGTAGTCGAAATCTATGTAGGAATGTTCCGCTTGAATCAACGCCCAAACGCCCCAGAAGACGTGTGACAGTAGAGAAAACTTGTTGACTTGAACGTACAATCTTTCTATCTGTGCCTGGCTAGGCTCACAACCCAGGTATTCTGTTAGATATGTCCGCAGCCAGTCCGTCTGAAGCATTTTATCTGGATACCTGGCGTAGTCCATATCATCCAAACCTGCGAAAGAAAATACTTCATATTTCGGCCAGAAGTATAACACAGATTTGATACAATGAGTCAGTTAGTATGAGTGTTACAATATTAAAGATGTTAATTGAAATAGAGGCAGATGTCTAAAAAAAAAAATAGGATCGCCCCCCCGCCCTCCTAGACAGCTTCCCGAGTCCGCCACTATGACTAAGTAACCCTCCTTGAAACAAAAGCTAGATCCGCCTTTGGGTAGAGTTCTCTTTTATGTATAAAATCATAGGAATACAGAGTTACCAGTAAAAGAACCACTCTTTCGAAAAAACAGATGCTGTGGCTCAAATGCTACCTGCTATTAGGATGCGATCACCCATTCATTACCTACGGTAATAGTCCAGGAAATATCTTATCATCTGCTCGGAAGAACATTCTGATTAGGTTTGCGGTAAGGCTATACTTTAGCGCATATCGCAAATACTGCATTTCTTACTTTAAAATGAAAGATTCGGGTGTAACTTTTACCAAAATATATTTTTTTCTTTAAGGAACCGTCTGCTTGCTATTTTATAGAACTTAGAAGTTGCATTTTTGGTGGTAATACTCTAGAATAGAATACTGTTTTATATGCTGTCCTTTTTTGATTTTTTGTACAAAAGGATGCTCTAAATTAATAACAACATACACTGCATAGTACTAAGGAAAATAGATGTGAAACTGGAAAAAATCCTTGCATTCTTCAAAAAAGTGTCTAGCTAACGCTATGGTAGGGCACGAAGTGGATTTAGTGTGCCGATTGCACATTTTTGCGCTAGTATATAAGTAAGAATTTGACAAGCCAAATTAAGGTATATTACTATCCATGATTTGGCAACATCGCAACTAGATGGAGAGAATATGACAGTGACGGCGGTGGTGTAGTGATGGGAATAATTACACTGGACAACAAATTTTAGTTTTTTAATTGTATCTTGTGGGAAAAGTGCACTTCTTTGTTAATTTTGGGGCGCTGAATCCAAAAATGACAATGAAATAAAAAACTTAGTTGCGGTTTAGAAAAAAACTTTTTATTTCTAAGGATATCTTAAAAAAATTAACAAGATTCATATCCTTATAAGAATCACTGTATGGGCTGTCTTTTTGCTGTTCTTTTATGGATCGTTTCTGGAGCATCTCTACCAAGAGTCCAACAGTAGTCTGCAAGCATGGAAGGATTCCACTTTCCCTGGTACCTTTTTTCCATTGTTGAAATATCCTGATGAAAACGTTCGCCGTACTCATCACTTACGGCTCCGCAATTGTCAGGAAAAAAGTCCAGGTGTGAGTGTAGGAAATGTATCTTAAGAGACATATTACAGCCCATCTTTTGATACGATGACAGCATATTTTTGACAAGGGTTTTATAGTTGTCAGCTTTTCTATTTCCCAAGAAATTAGTGACCACCAGACGGAAATCATTCCAAGCAGTTTTTTCAATACCTGTTAAAGTGTTTTCAAACTGTGTATCTTTCAAAATATTTCGAATCTGTGGCCCAACAAAAATACCTTCTTTAACCTTTGCCTCACTTAGTCTTGGAAATTTCTGACGCAGGTATTGAAAAGCTGACCCATCTCTATCTAATGTCTTGACAAAGTTTTTCATTAGGCCCAACCTGATATGCAGTGGTGATAATAAATTTTTTTTCGAATCTACATATGCTGTACATTTTTTTGACCTGGCTCTAGGAATTGACGAACAGGCCAGTTTTGTCTGGTATAATGAAGTGCCTTTGCCCGACTGTCCCATTCACACAAAAAACAGCAAAACTTTGTGTAGCCGAGCTGCAGCCCAAGTAAAAGTGCAACAACTTTCAAATCGCCACAAATATGCCATTGGTGCTCATCGTATTTTATGCATGTCAATAGGTATTTCATATTGGCATATGATTCTTTCATGTGAACTGCATACCCTACAGGAAGAGATGGTAAAATATTTCCAATATGCAATAACACTGCCTTTAAAGTCAATGTTGAACTGTCTATAAACAATCTCCATTCTTCTGGGTTATAGTTTATATTTAAAGCCGCCAGTAAGCCGTTAATGTTACTGCAGAAAACCAAGTTATTCTCCATATTGAAAAATGGTTCTAAGTCTTTGTGGCGTTTACGAAAAACACATACCGAAACATCGTCTTCTAACAAGTTCCACTGCTGCAGTCTTGATCCAAGTAACTCTGCCTTACATTTTGGAAGTTCTAAATCTCTTACAAGATCATTTAATTCTGACTGTGTTATTTTGTGCGGTTGGTGGCATGACGTGCTCGATATAAAATCAGGATCTCTTGACGTTGGTGGCATATCTTCTTCCTGACGAATCACTCGATCGCCATTATCTGATTCGTTTTCTGATTCGCAAGTGTAGGATTCTGGGGGTTTTGGAATAGGATTTTCGTCACTGTGAGGCACAGGTCTCATCGCAGATGGTATGTTTGGGTAGTTAATAACCGATTTTTTTTTCTTGGATATACCTGTGGCTTGTCCAACGCAAGCTGATATGCCTTTGTTATTAGTGGAGTAATAGACCGTCTCTGAGACGCAAAAGTCACATCACCACACACGTAACAAAACTGATCCGGATTGTTTACACACTTTCGAGACATCTTGCATGAACGCTGTCAGCCAACTGAGGAAAAAATGGCTAATATAAAACAATATAATGTACACGTATGTATAACGTAACACAATCATGCCGATTACATCATCTTTCCTTGCCGAATATAAAAATGTAGCACGTGCATTCTTGTGAATTACAGTATATTAACACTGTCACAGCAGGAACACATATAATTACCGTATCTCTAAAACTTGAACTAATATTGAAAAAATAAGTTTCATTCCGGTTTTAGCACATTAAAAATAGTAATATTTTGTTAAATTTATTTAGGATATTTTTTGGCTGTTGATCAGTGTTATCTGAAATAAAAGAAATGACTACTTAACAATGAACTATTTTCATCATTAAAATATTGTGAAATTGCATTATTGCGATGAACAGTGTCACAGCAACTTACAGTGTATCTTATATTCATATAATTTTGAACAATCTTTTGTATAAACAAGAAGAAAACAGCTTATACAGCAGTATTCTATACCACACCCAAAATGCAACTTTAAAGATCAATAAAAAAGCAAAAACGATATTTTCGTGCAAGTTACATCCTAATCTTTCATTTTAAAATAAGAAATGAAATATTTGCGATATGCGCTAAAGTATAGTTCAGCCGGTTTTTTGCAAAACTTTAATAAAGAAGAATAAAATAAGACAGAACAAAGTGTCATTTGTCACCAGTATCGGCCATCTTAGAAATATGTCGCCGAGTAAGATAAAAGGCTGTTTCGCGAGTGTCCCTTCCACTGGCAACTCTGCATTCTTCGTATAAAACCAACCTGGGTTTTCCATAGACTTGGGTTCAATGTTCGATAACTGACCAAAATCATTCCTCACCTGCATATTCTGTAAAATGATTTCCAATATCAAACGCCTGATAATTGAACGCTGCGTACTCGTAATCTATAAAACCTACTTCTTTTCCACCGTCTGTGAGTATAATATTTCCCATCAGCAGATCGTTATGAGCGAATACTGTGGGACTATCGATATGTTCCAGATGCAGTCTCAATACTTTAACTTCCTCTTCGATTTTCGATTTTGGCGTTACCAGTTCGTTACACCTACGGTACAGAAATCATCCAGGATTAAAACAAAATGTCTTGTTTCCCCTAACGCCAGTATTTGAATTGGTAAAATAGAAATCAGTGATTCAAACTACTAGTTGCCTTAAAATTCATGACGACTTTGAATTAAATAAAAGCGTGTTTTTTAGTTTTTTCAAACCAATATTTATTTTTCATTTTTTAGTTTTTTGTGGACATGTGGTATTGAAATGTCTTACGAATCATTTCGTCATCTAATCATTTCATTTAAAGCTTCACTGTTGCATTGTGTTTTTCCTTAGAGCATTCAAGTTCTTCAATCCGAATACCGTCCAAAGACCTTACACAAGCTTGTTCAGCAGCAAACAGTCGCGATCCTAGATAAATGACTGCATGATCGGCTGTACAACCTTACATCGAAGCCCAACTCAGGATCAATGGCAACATTCGCAATGGACAAGGTGAGAATGCACTACCTTGAAAAAGTATCTGCCTCCTTGTGCTGTGCCAAGTGCCCGAACCAACAAAGAGTAAGTCCGAAACTGCACGCATGCGCAGATCGCGCGCTAGCTCTATCTCTCTTACTCCCGTACAGAGGATCTATAAAAGAATTTATCAATCCTGACGGTCCTGATGAGGATAATGTTAAGTTTCAAATTAATGAAACAAATTGGTGAAAACTATGCTCAAAGATTCAGTTACAAACACATACTTACAGGCCAAGCTAATAAAAGCGTGTTAATAATAAAAAGCACAGTTTTTCTTTAGGCTGTATTGTTATTTTTCTATCGAACGTGAAACCGTGAACCGTGAAGATACCGATATACCAACCTAGCATTTTTTTCTGGATCCGTGAAAGTAGCCGGTACCAAATCCAGGAATTTCCTCAATTTATCCCATATCACAGGCTGAGTCTTTTCAGCTTGCCCCACACAGACTTTGTGCAATCGAGCCATTCTCCTGGCCACTAACTTGTACACATCACTTCGTCGCGCCATCTTCCAATTCAGCACGATTCCGGGGACGTATTGGTAGGCGAGCCCGTTTTTGAAAGTCGCGTATAACTCCGGCGCTAAGCCGGCCCTGTTCAGTAGAAGTATATTCCTGAAAATGGAATAGTTCAGTCAAACTAAACATACTACGGCCAACCGTGCTTTTTGGCAACTCATCAGCACGGTCTAGGCTTGGTAGGACAATGAACGGAAGCATACCAACTATCCTCTATCTATCGAAATAAGTCAGCGAGTAGACCATCTCTACTATACCGCCAGAATCATCAGCCTCTAGCGGTCACAGTGGTGACTGCGCTGTCTTATTTCGATGGATCACTAAAAGTTTGAACTGGGAGAAACATTTTGGGTCTATGAGCAAACCACTAAAGGTATACAGGGTGTCTAAATATTCAGTAGACAGAAAATACGAGGTACTTCTATGTCGACAAGATATTGGGACACCCTGTATAACTTCTTATGACGGCGTTATATGTTTTGTGACTTTTTGGATACGCCAATGTGTTGAATGCCGAAAAACCGTGCGGTAGAAAGTTGTGGGTCGTTTAGATCATACTTACTTAGTTTCTGCTTTTCTATCGATGAGCAGATCTGTCTTGTTTCCATATATCCTGATGAGGACTGTCTCGGCTTCGTCCGCACCGTCTGGTCGGCATCCTACGAGTTTGTTGGTAATGCCATCTGTCAACAGCTACGTACATTCATCTTTTATTCATAACAAAACATTGAACATAAGCCATTTTGTTGGTCTACTCTATTTCTGACCTAACTCTATTACCTAACTTAACCGAATAACTATTCAGACCGCTGTGACGAAACCAAAACTCTGGTCCACGCAATGAGTTTTTAGGGAAATCAAAAGACAGCCATTATTAGAACCAAACACATCAAATCTTTGCAAAGTACATTCATTTTTGTATTCTACTACTTCACTGTGACTGACTACTTCCGCCATCTGGTCGGGTATTTATTATTCTAACGACAAGTCGAGAAACATTCCAGCTTTTTCGCGAACGGTCACGTAACTCTGGTTGCCTAGCTATACGAGGGCATTACAATACGTTTTTCCGGGCAGTTTGGTGTGACCGAGGTGTGACTAAATACTGTTTCCTTATATGTCTAGGTCAAAGCCAAATTTTCTCAATCGCTGTTATTTTTTGTAATCTATAAAACGATTTTTAAGCATAAACTTGAAATACAGAAAATAAATCTCTTAATGTCAAAAATATTTAGACAAGAGTAATAAAACAAACGCATTTTTTTATCGATTACTGAGGGTTGATTAAAAGTTCCGCCTAATTTAAATGGATATGATAAAAAATTTATCTACGAGCAACTTTCCTGCTACTCAAGAAACAATATTGTATAAAAAATAGCTATGCACTAATACGTTGCACATTGCTTGGAAAAATATAGGCTTTTAAGGTCTGATAGTTGAATGTCAACGTAAAAGTCAGAATATTTTTTTTTTGAAATTTGTCTTTATTTCGTTGGGTACTATATTATACAGGGTGTTTCAGTTTATTGTTGCATAACTTTAAGATTCGATAGAACTTTTAAAATCAATGCATAAAGTCTATATAAACATAGGTCGAAAAATGCGTGGCTTCCGAAATACAGGGTGTTTAAATTTACTTTCTAAAATAGTTTTTTTAATATTTCGAACAATATTTGATGTATAATAGTGAAAATTGGTATACAAGGCTTTTTTGGTACGACAAAACGAACCATGGGCATAGTTTTACTGGAGCCGATAGAGGGCGCTCTCTACTGTACCTGTAGTGTAATAAAATGACCGAAAAATTTTTCTTGTGCAATTTTTTGCTTTTTGAATAAAAAAAATGATTCTTCGCACTTTTCAACATAAAAAAGCTATCTTGTAAATATTCGTTATAGTTAGCCGATTTTGAGATATTTCGATTTTTAAGGTTCGATGCATTTTTAATTATTTATGATAGAATAACGTTAAAAAGTCAGTATCTCGATAATTTTTAGAAGTAGGCTGTGCCTGCAAATATTTTTGAAATTGAAAGCAGAAGAAGGTAAACGCCAATTAGTTGACAGTTAGTTTTGTTGTCTGTTGAAACCTGAAACGTTTTTTTGTAATTGTGAATGCACGAAATTTAGTTTCTTTTACCTTTTTTTTTTTTTGGAAGTTTTATAAAAATGCCATTTTTATTCTCCAATCAAGAGTTAGCGGATATTCATTTTGTGTATGGCTTTGTAAATGGAAACGCAGCAGAAGCAGCCAGAGAATACGCACGAAGATTTCCAAACAGACGACATCCAAGTATTTGTAAGAGTGCATCGCCAAATAATTGAAAATGGTTTTGGAAATCTCCAAAGGTAAAGATGGATCGGCCGTGGAGGACCAGTCGCCTGGCCTCCACGATCCCCTGAGCTAAATCCATTAGATTTCTTTGTGTGGGGATTACTAAAAGAAAAAGTGTACCAGACTCCCGTAACCACAAGAGATATGCTAATAGACAGAATCAGGAATGCATGTGATGAAATAAGGCCTTATTTGAATAATGCTATACCACGTTCGATTATTCGTAGATGTGAATTGTGTATTGAACAATTGGGTTTACATTTCGAGCAACTACTTTAGATTTTGTATGTTTGTCCTAACTATCCAACAGCATTTTAGTTGTAATAATTTGTTAAAAATAATATTGGAAAATTAAACAAATTAATATTCTGTTTTTTGTGTTTATTTGGAGTTAGGAATTATTGCTGTGTTTAAAAACACAATCTAAACGATCATCTTAATTACTTGTAATGCCCAAAACGAAAATGTAAAAAAAAAGATTATTTTCCCATAAATAATTAAAAATGCATCGAACCTTAAAAATCGAAATATCTCAAAAACGGCTAACTATAACGAAAACTCACAGGAGAGCTTTTTTATGCAGAAAAGTGCGAAGAATCAGTTTTTTTATTCAAATCGCAAAAAATTGCACTAAGAAAAATTTTTCGGTCATTTTAATACACTACAGGTACAGTAGAGAGCGCCCTCTAGCGGCTACAGTAAAACTATGACCATGGTTCATTTTGTCGAACCAAAAAACGCTTGCATACCAATTTTCACTGTGATACATCAAATATTGTTCGAAATATTTAAAAAAAACTATTTTAGAAAGTAAATTTAAACACCCTGTATTTCGGAAGCCACGCATTTTTCAACCCATGTTTATATAGACTTTATGCATTAATTTTAAAAGTTCTATCGAATCTTAAAGTTATGCAACAATAAACTGAAACACCCTGTATATTGATTTTTTGAATAATGTTCTGTGCGGTCTTTGTATATTTGATGAGATATTCGAAAACCTGTGTCATGCTCGTGTGTATGTGAATTTTGCTTATTGGCAATATGAGAAATAAAGTTGCCTACTATCAAGTATCCGTAACTCCGATTCCATATACAGGGTGACTTTGAAGTTGAGTCATTAATTTTCAGATAATGATTGTAGAAGGAAGATAAACCAGAATATGTGTGTAAAAATAAAAAAAAATTAAAAAAAAAATTTTACCTTGTTTTATAAAGTATCCTCCCGACAAGTATTTCAGTGCGGACCTGTATTTGATCGTGAGGTCCCCTGTGAGGTCTTAAGTCACCTGATTCACGAGCCCGTTGTACTACATTAACAAAGGCACGAGGGGTTGGTTGCACTCGATTGGGAAACCGATCCGCATAAACATGTGCCATTTTTTATTTCGTTTGAGCCACGCAACAGAAACTATTCACACGCTAACCGACAGATACTGACTGTATGTATAACTGAACTGAATAAAACACTTAATTGCAAAAACGTCGTTCCAAATTCTTTCGCTTTTTTGTTTCCGATGCGATGAACCGGTAAGGCGGATTATATCCGTTGTTGCCAAACACGAGTACATGATATTATTATTGAGACAGGGCGGTACTCAAACTTCCAAAGGGCTATAACTTTGTTACTTTAATTTTACCAGAAAAATGGTAAAGGAAAAAAACATTTCTTTTGATCAGATCTACTCACTGTTAAAATAAATGACTCAACTTCGAAGTCACCCTGTATAAATTGTGTGATGGATATAATCTTGATTTATGAAAAATGGCTTTTAAAACAGTTTTTTATGCTACATTTAGATCAGAAAGGTGGCACCCCAGGCTGTGTTGCCGTATATGAACACTCATATCTAGCTAAGACTGGCGATTACCAGTAGAACCAGATTTTTCCAAAACCAGTTAAATCTACAAATATCCGGAACGTTTGCAATTTTCATGTCACGCAGTATATACGAGACTTAGATCGTATTTATCCCTCCCTCTTCATTATTATCTTTTCATTATCAATGTTGAATAGATTCCTGAATATACAGAAATACGTTAATATTTTATAAACATTAGACGAGGTCGAACTCAAACGTTAATTGATGAGTGGAATTATTTTCTTTTGCGACATTGATATTGTCACGCGCCACCTCCGTTAAAAATATGCGAAGGACGTCTAAGGCTGATGGGTTTAGACTAAAATTGAATACCTTCAAAAATGCAATCGACGTTCCAAGAAAATCGGCGGAAAATAACTTCCTTTTTACTTCCCACGTCACTGGGCGAACAAGTGTTGTAATCGCGACAAAGTTAGTTTTAATATGCTTCACCAACCAGCGATTTTCTGTACTCATCTCTCTCATTTTTTACATTCAGCAAATTTTCATAAGTAATTACAAAAATGAATAAGAAAAACTGGATACGCATCTAATTTCTAGCTTTGCATACATCTCAAATAAGTGTATTTGACACAAGAAACCAATGGACTTATCATCAACACACAAATGTTCACTATGCACCTATGCAGTGACGTTTCGTTCTAGCTAGACCTCCAGTAATGCCATCTCTGAAGCAGGTGCTACATCACATCAGAGGTAAACATTGATATCGAAAGCATCATGACATTTAGGCAACACGTACAGCTACGGAGCGAGTAAACAACAAGTGTACAAAATCTTTTGGAATTAACTATTTTGCAAAATATATTTCTGATTACATAGCGATGGGAGTTAAGTGATTCGATTGTATGACGCAGTCATTTATATCGCATACTTCACATTCCTTAATCATCTCATTATAAAATTTGAATAGATTCCGCAAATATGCAATTAAATATTTACTCTAGACAAGGTCACACGTAAACCATGAAATCAGTGGAATTATTTCTTTTGCGACATTGATAATGTCACGCTTCGCTCAGCGATCTTTTATCTGATGAAAGTTATTCGAAATGATCGTCTAAAGGGTCTCACACACTGTACGGTATGCGAGAATTGTGTATCAACACATGTTAAAAAGAGATAGATAGATAGATACGTCGTGCAATCAGCCACGTTGCCAATATGTTAGGTTACTGTCACACCTAAGAAGGAGGTCTGTTCGAACATTTCATTTAATATTTTGTTCTCATTTTGATTAGAATTATTTATTTATTTCAATTTTGATGGCCTTTGATTTCTACTGATGGTGATAAAATCAATACACCCCTACGAGCGCTAGATGGGTAGTGAGCAAAACAGTGTTACCAACACTTGAATTGCGAGGTTGCCAATAGTTCCGAAAAGTTCTGATTATTAATGTACAAAAGATGTCACATGGCTTTTTTGCCAAACCAACACCCTCTCCTCGTGGGCGTAGCCTGGATGGGTACCAAAAAATTACCGCAGATTGAAAACTGAAGAGCAAAAAAGGTCTTCAGGTCCTCTTACTTAACCTGACAAAAAGAAAGAGAGGAAGAATTCTCAGGAGTTCAACTGTTTTAGTTTCGAATCGAATTATTATTTCTTTCAATAGATATTGACACATGTTTAAGCTTTCAAAATGAACCCTTCTCTCCAAAAATTTCCGAAAAGTTCCTCTAAAATTTAGGTTCTGCAAAAGTTCCTTCACGATCCGAAAGTTCGGAACTTTGGCAACACTGTACCAAAATCGCTCAACTATGATCATGGAGGTGGACACCTTGCCTTGGAATGTGCAAGATGCGGTGTTGTCAAACGAACCAATGATGCAATGTTTCAGAATTTGTGGCGATACTGTCCTTTAATTTCGACCTAAAATGGAGCGCCGTTAAGACCGATCCGGAATCTAAGTCAAATGTGTACGCTCAAAATATACCCAGTATTTGGGGGTAAAGAATAAACTAACGCATATTTTCAAAGTGAATCTTAATTCAAGGAACTGCTGTAACATATTGGCAACGCGGCAGATCGTCGCGTCAGCGTTGCCAAGCAACGTAACGATGAGCTTCGCTATCCATACGGCGTCTATCTCTTCCTAACATATATGCCTCTTCTTCTCGTACACATTGACCTGAAGCCGTCTGACAAATTCGGTTTTAAGTGTAGGCAATGAAATTCCGAGAAAAACAACTTCTGAATCATCCACATTGTCATCAAATTTCAAACAATTTCTTATGATTCAATGAATGAAAACCACACTGAAAATTCGAAGAATTCAGGCCACATCAAGGTCGAAGACATTATCAAGAAACTTGCACAATGATGGTTTGTTTTTTGTT